CAGATGGGGTTGGGGAAGGTAGACTCTCCACTGAATGATTTCCAAAATGTTGGGACCGGGCTGGCGAAAGGAAATGAGGATAAGACTCTTGTGGTACAATAGTGAATAATTGCCATCAGGACTGACTGTGAGGGTAGGAAATATAGAGGTAGATGTTTTTTGACAAAAGAAGGAGAGTGATTGATTTTGCAGCCCATGAGCAGAGGTCCCTGGGACCATCAAGTGAGAAGAGTGGAGAGCAGGACCCTACCGAGATAGGCAGTGATGCCAGGTATGGAGACAGAGACAGTGATGTGGACAGATGGAGCAGCTGGAGACACTGAACTCAGGGAGGGAGAGGGGCTGTGTGCTGATGGCCAGTGGAGGGGGGGTGGGCCTGTGTGGTGTACCCTTTGGTTATTTGATGATGCATGGAGGGGATTATAATCATTGCAATGAAACAAAATATGATAGGATGAATGTAAAACTGATGGTTTCCCATGTTAACCTCACAATAAAAACTTAAAATAAAAAATAAAATGTAACTCCACACTCCCCCGACCCCCGACCCGCCCCCCAAAAAAAAAAACAGTGGCTTCTGAGGAGAAGTTAAAGACAGAAAGGTCAGCTCAGAAGGTTAGGTGATGGTGACCTTTGTAGATTTTTTGAAAGGCACAGGACCACTATGGGTGCTTATTAGGAAGTTTGAGGAAAATGGAAAACTGCATTGGTGAGAAAAAAACCAGGAAAGTTGCACCAAAACATTTTTTTTTTTTTTCTGAACTTGCCCTTTCAGACTAATTTTTGTTCTCCAAATTCAATTCTTCAAGGAAGGGTTACAGATGGAGACATGCCCTTCAGAAGTATGCAGACCTAGGTAGAGGATATGTAGAGAAACAATAGTTTCACATTTTGATATTTTTGTTTAAAGGTTTCTGATTTTGTAGAAATTTTTTTAAAAAATTGAATCTAATATCCAGGATTTGGTGAGGAGAAGCCAGGAAGATAATTATGATGAATGCAATGCAGAAAACAAGTCAAATGGTGCAGTCTCACAGTCATACAGGCAATTCCGCTTCAAAGTAAGGAGATGCTTTAGGAACATACGATTCAACGACCTCTTCTGACATGCAAATGGGAGACAGGTGTGCTCAGGGTCTCAGTGGAGAGACTGGGCAGAGGTCAGTGATGGGGCAGAGTTCACAGGCAGGACAGAACTTTCCCATCACACTGGTGGCTCTCCTCTCTCTCTGGGCTCTGCTTTGCCCTCCATTTCCCCACCCTCCAGGGGTCCAAGTCCAGGACTTCTTCGCTATTGGCTCTTCTCAGCTACAAATAACAACCGGTTCAGAAGATATCCACCTAGGAACCATCAAGTCCCTTACAACAAACTCCCTTTCAAGAATAAAACTCAAAAGGAATGCATGAGCTGGCTTGTAAGCTCGCTGGTGACTGTGTTGGTCTACTTGTGAGTGGAACTAGGGGAAAGGCAGTAATGAAGACATGAACAGAGTTTGACCATGTTCCATTAGACTCCTGTTGACCTTAAGATGAAAGAGAGAAGAGGAAGGGCTGGTTGGTCCAAAGTTTGGGGAGACCTGGGAACTCGTGAGCCCATGAATACTGATCTAGCCACTGGGAACTAAAGCTGAGAGTGAAGCGTCTGTCTGATATGAAGTGGGAGGAGATGTACAAGAATGCCCAAGCTTGCAGATGGTACTCATCTGACCAAGCTTGGATGACGTGATGATGAGAATTCGACTAGAAGAAGATAAAGAAATTTGATAAAGGAAACAAGTGTAAATTGCTACAATTTGATGACCTTGACCTTTACTTATGATGTAGTACTTCAAAATACCAACCAAAAGAGAAGGAGTCTTCACATCAAGGATCAAGCCTGACCCATCAGTACACAGGGTGGATAGGGATAGGCAGCTGAGACAGTGGCTACCTAAAATGAAGGGACTATCAAGGCATTAAGTGGCTGGCTTACAAGTTTTCAAGAGGGAGTTTAGTTTCGGAGCAAGGGAGGGAAGGTAGAATTCCCACTGAATAGTTTTCATCTTGTTTAGATGGGTATGGTGAAAGGGCTTGGGGATAAGATTTTTATGATTCAATGGTGAGTAAGTGTTATCATGATGAATTGTGATTGTAACAGCTGTAAAGGTAGAAGTTGTGTAACAAAAAGGGGGGAGTAGTTAATCTTACATTCCAGAAATAGAGGACCCTAGAACTATCAAGAGGGAAGAGAATGAGCGGAACATGGGCTCTAACCACAAAAGCAGTGACACCAGAGATGGAGGCAGAGGTGATGGCATAGAGAGATATAGCAGCTGAGGACTCTAGACTCACAGAAACAGAAAGGTTGTGTGTAGCAGGAGACTGGCCTACAAAATGTGCCCCTTGGCTGTTTAAACAATTGTATATTCCTGTGTGGCTTTGTTTACCTACCAAAAAAACAAAAACAAAGCAGGAATAGAGGCAAATACCAATGGCACAGGGAGGGGATTATAATCATTACAGTGAAACAAAGTATGATTGGTTAAGTGCAAAACAGGTGTTCTGCCCTGTAAACTATCACTCAATTCACAATAAAAGTTCTATTAAAAAGTAATAACAGTAACAACTGGTTGAGGGGAGTTCACAGTCTTGGAATGTCAGGATTGAAAAGGATCATTGAAATCAGCTATTTTATATGGACACACTGGGATGGTTGGTGGTGATTGGTGGCAGAGTCTAGACCAAAACTGGTTCTCCGAAACTGGCCCAGGCCAATGCTTCTTTCAGACTATGGTGGTCTGGAAAGAAAACTTGGCAACAGCAAGGCCAGGGCTTTGCATACCTCTTCTGCAACGAATTTCATGGTATCAAATGTGATTCGGCCCTGCTTCTTTTTCTGAAAAAGGAAGGGGGAGGAAAGACAATTAGCAAGACTGCCGTGAGAATTTTGTATCCCAAACTTATGCATCACCTGTATGACCCATGGAAAGCCTCTTACCAGCTGGCCCTCTAATGTCTATCTCTGCTCAAAGACCCCAACTCAATACTGGGTTTGGGTACAACAGCTCTGACACGTAAGTTAAATACCAATAATGAGCCAGACTTTGTGCATCTTCCATCTCTGTCAGGACAAAACAGATGCTAAGTCCTGTTTTGGATTTGAATGGAGTGATGGGACTTAACTAAGAATCATCCAACCTATTGTCATCGAGTTGATTCCAACTCATAGAAACCCTGTAAGACAGAGCAGAACTACCCCCATAGAGCTTCCAAAGCTGTACGTCTTTATGGATACAGATTGCCATCATTTCTTCCATGAAGGAGCTGGTGGGTTCTAACTGATAACCTTTCTGTTAGCAGCTGAGTGTTTAACCACTGTGTCACTAGGGTTCCTTCCAAGCACACCTAGTAAATGTTGTAGCTGGAATCCAAACCCTAGGCTTTCTGATTCAACCGTCAATGTCTAAAGTACAGTCAGAAGGGGAAAGGATGTACAAGATCTTAAGGATGAACAAATCCAGCCCCATCGTCTGTCTTTATCAAGACCTAGGAATTTCTTCTGGTTCTTTTGATGGAATGGAAAGCACTTTTTTTTCCTACTTCTGATACTGCCATGGTCGGGTGCTGCCTGTGACTTGGTATATACAGCTAACTCTGATGACACAAGTTACTTTCTCCAATTTAAGCCTCATAATTAATCAAGGTAACTGTTGGGTCCCCCCACTCCACCACCATCTGCTTCATCTTTTGTCTTCTCTCAATGGACTCAGAGCTTGGACTGGGAAGTGGGACTTTATTTACCAGACCCTCCTCAAACCCTCATCATCCTGCTGATCCCAGGTACTTACATCCCAGAAGGAGAAGATTGGGTGCTTTCTGTGAGCAGTCTCGATGATCTGATATTCCCGGAATCCCCGGAGGCCTTGGCGAAACATTTTACACACTCGGATCATCATAATGATTTCCTTGGAGAGTTGGTACAGCCCCTGTAGAGACAAAGCAAACAAGATAATCGGAAACCTTCTGTTTTCAACAGTTAACAGCAGACTGGATGGTGCTGAGCAAGGTGAAACTTATTAGAATTAAGCGTAACGATGTGTTAGAGTAATGGTAGTGTTGTCAGGAAATTTCCTAGTCTGTAGAAATCATATTGTAACTTGAAATTGGCCATGGTGGGAACATTTACACCACAGAAACCAGCAACTACAACAAATAAGGGCAACACCCAAAAGTCAACGGTTTAACATTCATCAACATTGTACTAGTTACAGGTCAAGTTCTTCACTTCAGTCTAAAAAATAAGGCGTACAAGTAACCACAGGCAGTATAGGGTAATACAAAGAACCTGAATTTTGAAATCAGATGGATCTGAGTTCAAATCCCAGCTCTACCACTTATTAGCTAAGTGAAATTAATTAACTGTTAGAGCCTTTCCTTACTTGCTGACATAGTTAGGTTCCAAAGACTGAGTCATTATGTGAAAAACCAACATTATGCAAAAATGGAGGATAACCACATCAGATCACAAAATGGAAGACAACTACATCATGATATAACTTCCAAATTACATCATTGCATAATGCCAAACCACTGAGAGGCACAGTCCATGTTGTTGTTAACTGCTGTTGAGTCGACCCTATGCACAAAGAATGAAACACCGTCCAGTCTTGCACCATTATCACAATTGTTACATTTGAGCACATTGCTGCTGTGGCTGTGTTAATCCATCTTATTGGGGATCTTCCTCTTTTTCACAGACCCTCCGCTTTACCAAACATGATGCCCTTCTCCAGGGACTGGTCCCTCCTAATAACATGTCTGAAGTACGAGAGATGAATCTTGCCATCCTGGCTACTAAGGAGCATTCGGGATGTAATTTTTCCAACACGTATTTGTTTGTTCTTCTGGCAGCCCATAGTACTTTTAATATTCTTCTCCAACACCATAACACAAATGCACAGATTCAACTATGGTCTTATATATCCTCCTTCTATTCTTGGCTAGCCTTCTTCCTCTGTTATACTAGGTGACTAGAGACCAATTGTTGTGCTTTGGATGGCCACTTGTAAGCTTTAAAGACTCTTGTGGTGGTGGTGGCTGTGTGTCGTCTAGTCAAATCTGACTAATAGCAACACTGTATAGGGTTTCCAAGGACGTGGACATGACCTGCTGACCTTATGGCCAACAGTTCCATACTTATTCTACATTGCCACACCAGGACTCCTTTTAATACCTTAAGCACTACATAACAAATTAGGAAAAAGAACAAAAGCGCTAAACATGTTATTAAGTTAATTAGCTGGGATGCCCCATGAAACCAAAAGAGAAGAAAAATTCTCACAACTGGACCAATAAACATCATCATGATAAATGGAGAAAAGATTGAAATTGTCAAGGGTTTCATTTTACTTAGACCTACACTCAATTCATGAAAGCAGCACTCAAGAAATCAGGAAGTGAGGGGAAAACAGCAATGAAGCTGTGAGCTAAGTCCGACCACGTTCAATAGACTCCTGTGAACCCAGGTGGAGACCTGGTTGGCCAGCCGTTTGGCAAGACCTGGGGACTTCTGGGCCCAGAGTCAGTGACATAGCCACAGAGGACTAGAGTGGAGAGTGAAGCGTCCTGCTGGTAAGAAGTGAGGGGATATGCACAAGAACACCCACACTTGCAGATAATACCCACTTGACCTGGCTTCAATGGCTGATCAGAACTCAAATAGAAGAAGTAACAAGAGGAAAAAAAGAGTAATCTGATACAATTTGATGAACTTGACCTACACCTATGGATGCAGTAGCTCAAAAGAGGGAACAAATCTTTACAGAGAGGATCATTCCCACCTTCTCGGTACACAGGGTAGACAGGGATGGGCAACTTGGACATTGGCTACCCAAAATGGGGGGCTACAAAGGCAAGAAGTGACTGGCTAACAAGCTTTCAAGAAGTAGCCTAGATCCAGAGGGTGCAAAGGAAGGTAGAATCTCCACTGAGTAGTACCCAATCTGTCTGGGTGGGGCTGATGAAAGGAGATGGGGATAGGACTCATGTGGCACAATAGTGAATAATTGCTATCAGAACTGATTGTGAAGGATGGAAATGTAAAGGTAAATGTTTTGTAGCAAAAGGATTGGAGTGGTTGATTTTGCAATCCAGGAGCGGAGGGCCCTGGGACCATCAAGGGAGAAGAGCGAAATGCGGGACCCTACCCAGAGAAGCAGTGACACCAGAGATGGAAGCAGAGATGATGATGTGGAGAAATGGAGTGGCTGGGGACTCTAGACCCAGAAAAGGTGAGGGGATGTGTGCTGATGACCAAGGAGCAGGCTTGCAAGGTATATGGTTGTTTGATGATGCATGGAGGGGATTGTAATAATGGCAATGAAATGATATATGATAGGATGAATGTAAAGCTAATGTTCTCCCATGTAAAATATCACATAATTCACAATAAAAACTTTTTTTAAAAAAGAAAGAAATCAAATGGTGTATTGCATTGGGCAAATCTGCTGCAAAAGGTCTCTTTAATGTGTAAAAGGCAAAGATGTCACTTTGAGGACCCAAGCCATGGTATTATCAGTTGACTCACATGCATGTGAAAACTGGACAATGAATAAGGAAGACCAGAGAACAATTGATGCCTTTAAATACAGTGTTGGTGAAGAGTATTGGAAGTACCATTGACAACCAGAAGACCAAACAAATACGTCTTGAAATGCTCCCTAGAAACAATGAACATCGGTATACAAGTCTCTGCTTGAGTTTCTACTTTCAAGTCTTTTGAATATATAGACTTGAAAGATATAGTATTGCTGGGTTATGTGATAGTTCTATTTTCATTTTTTTAAAGGGACCTCCATAATGTTTTCCACAAGGGTTGTACCATTTTGCATTCTTACCAGTGATAGATGAAGGTCCAATTTCCCTGCAATCTTGCTCACATTTGTTACTTTCTGTTCTTTTGTTTTTGTTTTGCCATCCTAATGAATGGCTAAGAAGTATAGCCAGAATGCTTCTGAGAAGCAAGACTTTGTCTCACATACTATGGAGATGCTATCAGGAGGGATCAGTCCTTGGAGAAGGATCATCATACTTGGTAAAATAGAGGGTCAGCAATAAAGAGGAAGATCCTCAAGGAGCTGGATGGACAGTGCCTTAACAATGGGCTCAAGCACGGGAACAATTATGAGGATGGCACAATATAGGGCAGTGGTGCCTTCTGTTATACATGGGGTCATTATGAGTTGGAACCAACTCAGTGGCACCGAACAACAACATCCTAGTGTGAGTGAAATGGTATCTCATTGTGGTTTTGATTTGCATCTCTGATGGCTAATGACAACTAAACATCTTTTCATTTGTTTGGTTGCCATTTGAATATTCTCGTTAGTGAAATGTCTATTCAAATCCTTTGCCCATCTTATGACTGGATTATTTGTCTTTTTTGTTGTTAAGTTCCACAAGGTTTCCATTGGCTTTTTTACTTTTTTAAATAGCGCAGATCCTCTCCCAAGACTAAGATGCAATGGAAATCCATGCTCTGATTGGCGACCACCCATGTCACCCATAAAGGGAAGTGACCAAAGAACACAATGAACTGACAAACTAAGCCCTGCATCGTTCTGCAGACTACTGCGAACCCCAGGTGGGGACTCGGTCAGTCAGCAGCGAGGCAGAACCAAGGGACCTATGGGCTCAGAGTCAGTGACACAGCCACAGAGGACTAGAGCGGAGAGCGAAGAGACCAGCTGATAAGAAGAGGGCAGACAGACGCAAGAACACCCACACTTGATGATACCAACATGACCTGGCTTCAATGACTGGATGAACAGAACTCAACCCGAGGAAGAAAGAAGAGGAAAAGGAAAAAAGAAAAGAAAAGAAAGTGTCACCTGATACAAATCGATGAACTGGACCTACACCTATAACTGCAGTAGCTCAAAAGAGGAAAAAATTTCTGGCTACAAGAATTATCCCCTCCCCCTTCACACAGAGTGGAAAGGGATGGGCAACGTGAACATTGGCTACCCAAAATGGGAGGAGGGATGCAAAGGTAAAAAGTGACTGGCTTACAAGCTTTCAAGAGGAAACCTAGATCCACAGGGCGGGGAGGATAGAGGAGTCTCCAGTGAATGGAACCCAACCTGTCTGGGAAGGGCTGATAAAAAGAAATGCAGACGGGTCTCATGTGATGCAATGGTGAAAATTGTTATCAGGACTTATTGTGGGGACTGGAAATGTAAAGGTGGATACTTTATAGCAAGGAGGGGAGTGACTAACCTTTCAGTCTAGGAGCAGAGGGCCCTGGGACCATCAACGGAGAAGAATGGAGAGAGAGACCCCACCCAGAGAAGCAGTGGGGCCTGAGATGAAGACAGAGAGGACAATGTGAAGAGTTGGAGTGACTGGGAAGTTGAGACCCAGAGAGGGAAAGGGGCTGGGTGCTGAGGACCATGGGGGATGGGGGTGGGGGACATGCAAGGTATACCCTTTCATTGGGGGGTGATGCATGGATGGGAGGGTAACTAAGGTAATGAAACGATATAGGATAGAATGAATGTAAAACTAATGTTCCCCCATGTAAACTATCACTCAATATGCAATAAAACATTTAAAAAAAAAAAAAACCTCATCATAAAAAATAATAGTAATAAATAAATAGGACAGGTCTTCCTTCTGAGGCACCTCTAGGCAGACTCAAACCTCTAACTTTTGGGTTAGCAGCTGAGTGCATTAACCATTGTCCAGGACGCTCCATACACTGGGTAGCACCTGGAAAAGTATACTTTACAATCAAGGAATTGTATGTACTTTACACAAACATGTTAGAGAAATGCCCCCCACACACACACTCACACATAGTCATGAGGATGATCATTGTAGCTTTGTTTGTAACAATGAAATGTTGAGAATATTTTAAGTGTCCATCAATAAGAAAAGAGATCAAGACACAAACTATATGGTCACATGACTGAACATAGTACTCCATCATTTGAACATAGATAAAGCTCAAACCATAATTTTGAGTGGAAAAAGGATGAAATATATCAGTTTTTAAAGTATCACATACTGCATGTTGCTATATATATCACATATATGTATATGTAATAAAATATTAAAATATAGATAAGAAGGATACACACCAATCTCAGGAAAGTGTTGCCACTGAGACAGATGAGGCATAGGATAGCATGGAAACTTACATTTAACTTGTTTTCCTTTCTTTGGAAAAAACTAATGCTTTCTTAAAACTAATACTTATTGGAAGCTTATTAATGAGGTAGGATTAGCATGGGATATATCTTGAGTCACTGCCCTTCACTGTCCTACAAGAGATAAAAGCAGAAAGAGAGAAAGACCTTCTTCTACCAACAAGAAAGAACTGGGATCAGAGTGTGCCTTTTGGTCCCAAAGTCTCTGCACTGAGGAACTCCTAGACCCAAGGGAAACTTGAGAACAAAGACCTTCCCCCAGAACAAAGAGAGAAAGAAAGCCATCTCCTAGAGCTGGTTCCCTGAATTTGGACTTCAAGTCTTCGAAACTGTGAAAGAATAATTTTGTTTGTTAAAGCCATCTACTTGTATTTCTGTTAGAGAAGCATTAGCTACTAAGACACTACTCACCATTTCCTTCTTTAGGAGCAGCCAGCTGTGAGTTACCGCGTGTCTCCTCATCATTTCTGAGCTGGCAAATGATACCACTAGTCCATTAAATGAGAGGACAACAGAGCCATCTCTAAAACTCCAGTTATACTAGAAACATAGCTTTTCTCAGTGGCAATGCAAGAGCTCCTCTCCACTCTTCATACCCTACCAACAGCTGCTGTAAGCCTTGTTCTGAGAAAATCTCATTCTCAGAGTCACAATGAAGGATTCTAGAAGTAGGAGGGGGCAGTGGGCAGCAAGTGGCATCTGGGAATCTCACATTTATTAAGTACTCACAGGCGTGCTTTAACCACTCGCTGAGCGACCTAACATTCACTCCGTACACGAGGATAAGGAGTCTCAAAGGGATTAAATAACGGCAGGGTCGTGGGATCATGTTAAAGAAAGTAGGTTTCTGCACTAAGGACAGCGGCGTCTGGACTAAGGACAGCGGCATCTATCACCTCAGCTTGGGAAACACTCTGAGGCTTAGAATTTAGAGAAAAGCCATTTTGTATATGAACAGGCATGTCCCAAAAGTCCTGTTAAACTGGGATCATCAGGAAAACTCAGAAGATTTCATCAAAGAACAGGATACCCAATGTGGAAAGGAACTTGTGACTGGAACTCAGTGACTCTGAGGTCCTTCTCAAATTAGAGAAAAAAATAAAGGGTTGAAAGTACTTTTTTGCTAGATGAAAAATTTGTTGTCATTGTTGCTGTTGTTAAATGCCATCAAATAGGTTCCGACTCATAGCGACCCTGTACATAGGTTTTCCCAAGAGTGGCTGGTGTGTTGGAACTGCTTACCTTACGATTAGCAGTCCAGTGTTTGTCCGACAGTGCTACACTTTTTGTTGTTGTTGTTGTTGTTGTTAAGTGTCATCGAGTCAGTTCTGACTCATAGCAACCTTGTATAGGGTTTCCAAGGAGCAACTGTTGAATTTGAACTGCTGACCTTGTGGTTCAGATTGACCTTGTGGTCCAGTGCTTTATCTCATAGCAACTGATAAAACTTAGTTTGCTCTTACATCAGCATTCTCAATTAAAAAAAAAAAATTAAAAAAAAAAAAAAGATGAGTTTAAGTGTCATCCTATATGCCATTCTTATCTAGCTAGGTCTGTCTGCAAACCTTCCCCAACTGAAGGCTAACCAGAGGGCAATGACAGCAACAGAGACAACTTCCCAGCTGGGAGGAAAGACCCAGGCTATGATTACTAAATCCACAAGACACCACGCCTGGGGTAGGCATAACTCTTTGGGGGTTTGTTTGTTTATTCATATTTTGCCCCTTATTCAGAGATATAAAGAACTCAAGGGAGAACAGTATATTTGAAATCATTAATAATAATAATACTAAAATGCAAGCTATACTCTAAATTAAAGCAGCTAGATAATATCTGATCAAACACAAAATTTATGATAATGACAAACTTAAAGATGTATCAGCAGGTCTGTTGACTGTTAGTTCTATTAAATGTGGATAGTAACTTCAAAGAAACTCCCTTGATGTTTTACATACAATTTTATCATTAAAAAAACTTATCACTTAGTAAAGCTATTTAAAAACAAAAATCACTGAATCAAAGAAAGAGAAAAACAAAGGGAAAAAAAAACAAAACACATATGATCCAACACAGTTTTTAGTGGAGTATTTATCTCAGAGTCTGAAAAACAATGTTCTTAAGACTATAGGTGGAATCCTCAACAGGAGTCAGAATCTTCAGAGGTGGGAAACTTCCTCTTGAAAGGATAGGCAGACCAGCCTGGAGCAGCTAGAAGAACAGAAGATACTTCTTGTAAGAAAGACCGACAGGAAAGTGGCAGAACCTAGGAGAACTCTCAGAGGCCACAAACTAGCTACCCCTGAACCAAACTGAGCTTGTAAACTGTTATATTTGACTCATATACTGTTTGGGTTGAAATACAGTTAAATTAATGTTTTTAGTTGGTAAGCTCTCCAACTCAGCACAGTCTTTGCCACTTAGATTCCTCATACCAATATGTTACCTGCCAGGAACTTGTAAATGTTTGAGCTTGCAACCCCCTTCTATAGGATTTGGAGTCTTGGTGTAGTACTGTAGGATAAGCACTGGACTGCTAACCAAAAGGTCAGGGGTTCAAGTCTACCTGCTGCTCCTTGGAAACCCTATAGAGGGTCACTGTGAGTTGTAACCAATGGGACAGTACTTAACAACAACTACAGGCTCTATAGTGCCTCTTCTAGATACAAAATTCTTTGGCTATAATCAGTGGTTGCAAAAAGGGTGGTCCATGGGCCTGTTAAGTCTGATCAGTGTTGGGATATGATTTAGAAGACAACAGAGTTTTAAAAAAAATTTTAAATAGTTGTCAACACTTAAATACTATGATTTTTATTAATAACTTTCTAGGAAAACATGACTTATCAAAGTGACCCCAATACAAATAGAAAGTCAAATGGATTAATTTTTTTTAAAGTTGTTATTGTGAATTGAGTGATAGTTTACATGGGAGAACATTGGTTTTACACAAACGGACAAATTTTTTAAATTGTAATCAAATATGTTGTTATTATGTGCCGTGGAGTCAGTTCTGATTCATAGCAACCCTGTACAGGTTTTCCAAGTCTGTAAATCTTTATGGAAGCAGAAAGCCTCATCTTTCTGCTGCGGAACAGCTGGTAGTTTCAAGCTGCTGACCCTGAGGTTAGCAGCCCGATTTGTAACCACTCCGCTACCAGACAGAGCTCCTTTATTTTAGCCATTTTCAAGTGTACAATCTAGTGGCATGCCTCATGTTTTACAAACACCATTGCTATATGTTTCCAGTACTTTAATCTCACCCTAAACAGAAAGTCTGTATCCCGTAATCAATGATTGCCATTTCTCTGAACCCTCGTAGACCATTGTAATCATTAATCTACATTCTGTCTCTGTGTTTTCCTAGTCCAGATATTTCATGTAAGTAGAATCATACATTATTTGTCCTTTTGTGTCTGACTTACTTCATTTAACAAATGTTTCTGAGGTTCATCCGTATTGCAGCATATATTAGAACTTGATTAATTTCTATGGTGAATACTATTCCATTGTACATATACTTTACATTTTGTTTATCCATTCACCTCTTTATGGACACTTGAATTGTTTCTAGCTTTAGGCTCAAATTAATTTTTGTAGTAGAAAGAGAGAACGCTGTTGGAGAACTATCCCACCACACATACATAAACACACACCAAAAAAAAAAAAAAAAAAAAAAAAAAAAACAACCCAGCCCTAAAGTTTTCACAGATAACTTCAGAAAATCCCAATATTTCTTAAACTGTCCCAGAGTTTAGGAAAACTACTAAAATCTATTTTGTGAAGTAAGTTGAATGTTGATACTAAAACCTGATAAAGATTATACAAAAAGCTAAAGCTATAGAATAAGCTCATCTGTCAGCTTGTTGGACTGTGGTGGCTTGTGTGTTGCTGTGATGTTTGAAGCTACGCCACTGGCATTTTAAATACCAGCAGCATCAACTATAGTAGACAGATTTCAATGGAACTTCCAGACTAAGACAGAGGAGGAAGGAGAGGGTTGACCACTTCGGAAAAGTTAGCCATTGAAAACCCTATAAATAGCAGCAGAACATTGTCTGAGAGTGCCGGAGGATAAGACCCTCAGGTTGGAAGGTACGAAAGATACAATTGGGTGAGAGCTGCCTCCTCAAAGTAGAGCTGACCTTCACGATGTGGATGGAGCAAAGCTTTGGGGACCTTCATTTGTTGATGGGGCACAACTCAAAATGAGAAGAAACAACAAAAAATGAGAAGAAATAGTGGTAAATAGCCATTAATAATTGGAATGTGGAATGAATGAAGTATGAATTTAGAAAATTGGGAGTCATCAAAACCAAAATTGAGCATATAAAGATGGATGTCCTAGGCATTAATGAACTGAAATGGGCAGGTATTGGCCATTTTGAATCGGGAAATCATGTTATTTACTATGACAGAAATGACCAATTGAGGAGGAATGGTGTTGCATTCGTCATCAAAGAGAGCAATGCAAAAATCTATGTTTAAATGCAATGCTGTCTATGATAAGATAATGCCCATACGCCTACAAGGAAGGGAGTCCTGATGTGGTGCTGCAGGATAATGCACTGGACTGCAAGGTTAGTTTGAGCCACAAGGTCAGCAGTTCTAACCCACCAGTTGCTCTTCAGAAACCCTAAACAGGGTCGCTATGAGTCAGAACCAACGCGACAACACTTCGCAACTACAAGAAAGACCAGTTAATACCACTATTTATGCATCAGCAACTAAAGCCAATGATGACAAAATTGAAGGATAGTAGTACCTTCTTCAGTCTGAAATTGATTAAACATGGAATCAAGGTATATTGATAAGAACTGGTGATTGGAATGCAAAAGTTTGAAACAAAGAGAAAGAATCAGTAGTTGGAAATGTAGCCTTGCTGATAGAAACAATGCTGGAAACTACATGATAGAATTCTTTTTTTTTTTTTTTTAATAAAAGCATTTTGTCTTTATTAACCTGACAGTGATTCACAATAACTAAGATTCAAACTTGTTCCCTTTATACTGTGATTCCCTCACATAAGCATGCTCAAAGGCTGAATTCCAAAGAGCCAGTATGATAAACTGGGCTTCAAGGCTCACATACCGAACAACTTGGTTAGGGTAGTCTCCGAGGGGTTGTTGTTGTTGTTGTTGTTGTTGTCAGGTGCCAT